ATTTAGACTTAAGAGAGGAGGGAAGAAATTTAAATATCAGTGGAGAAGAAGAAATAGAAAACTCTTTTAAGTCGGAACTGAGGTCATTAAAAAGTTTAGTAGCAGTATAGGCCAAGGTGCGTTTCCCAGAGTTGCTATGTGGGCATGGCACCTTTAAGTCGTAAAGAGAGGCTCTTGTAAAACGGCCCAGAGGTCCACGCGAATCACAAAGAAATTGAAATATGTTCCTGAGACATTTAGGAGCATTCGGATTAAGGAGTACGATGAAAAGAAGAAACATTTTCCTGTATTTAATAAGATCAAAAACGGGAATCCAGTTAAGTTTTAAAAATAAAGAAATAGAAGCCTGAGAGAGGTCGGCATCAAGGAGTATACGCCCAGCACGTTTCTGAAGACGAAGCAGTCGTAAGAGGAGATGGTGGGAACAGTTACCCCAGGCAGCAGAACAATAAATAAAGTAGTTGTTAACACAAGAATTATAGAATCTTAAAGCAGAATCAAAGTTAAGATAAGGTTTGATGCGACGGAGAAGAGAAAGCCTACTGCTAATGATGCAGCAGATTGCATCGATATGATGCTCCCAAGACATGTCATTGTCTATCATAACGCCCAGCATCTTGGCATAGTCCACTTGCTCAATAAATCTACCATTTGGACATTGAGTGCCGAGCTGGTTAAAGTACGGCGTTTCTGCAGGGTCGTAATAAGTAAAGATTTAGTTTTGGTTGTGTTAAGTGACATTCGATTAATATCAGCCCACGTATATACAGTTCTAGCAACTTCATTCAACTGAGTGCTGAGGGAACTAACAGAGGGCCCTCGAACAAGAATAGTAGTATCATCCGCAAACATAGTTGAAGTTACGTCTGAATGTAGCACTAACGGCAAGTCGTTGATATGAATAATAAAGAAAAGTGGCCCACCTACAGAGACTGGAAGTGCTTCAGATAGAGTGCCCCTAAACTGGTTTTTTTTTTCGTCTGAATTTTAAAACGTCTCTTGTCGGTGCTAATATTAAATGGTTCACGTCGCTATCGGAAATTGAACGAGAATTCTTTGCAAACGGGGGATAGCAATGCCGTGTAATGAAAGCATAAGAGTTCTGTAATTACTCAGTTAACATTTCGCGTATCGAACCCTATACGTCGCCATTTACAATTAAGTGATCCACGTTCAGCATTTTAAGACTAACTGGCATGATAAATCGTGAAGGCACATTGGTCTACTCTGTGAGAGTGGTTGGAAGGTCTGTGGTTAGGTTACCTGGTCCCTGGTCTCCCCACCGTCGTCACCTTCGTATTGCTTACATTAAACAAGAAACTTAAGTCTGGATCAGATTGGTTGTCTTTACACTAGGCTGTTAAATAAGACTTAATTAAGAGCTGCTAAGTTTTACTTAAGGTGCCTGAACACAGTTTTGCGGGCGGTCAGCGGTAACTCGTATTTTGAATAATGAGAACTTAAAAATGGAAGCTGAACAGACGAATTTTGTGACACATTAATAGTTACAGTACAACTATATTACTGATTATCTAAAAACCATTCTTTTAAAATTTGGTCAAATAAGTTTCAAATGGTAATGATTAATTATAGTAAGCTGTATGCAAGTTTATAGGAAAATCTAATGAGCGAATTTTATGTAAACTGAGAAAAAGTAAAATGTTAAGGTTGTATTTAGTCGTTTATGTTGCCATGGAAACTACGAAAACGTCACATTTTACCTGTCAATCAAAATATTTCATCAGTATATTTTTCACTTGCTAAGTTTCAGCTTGTGAGCTGCAACCTTTCTCTTGCCATTATTTTGCAAATGACATACACTCCCAAAATGCCTAAAGTGTGTCCAGCCACCTTAACCAAAAATGCGTGTGTGAAGGCCTAAGTCAAATCTCAAGCAACTTTATTTTTGTATCTCATTTAAGTCGGAAAGTTGAAACGACTCAAGAAAGTTTCAAGTGACTTGAAAACCATCTTATGACCGACTTAGCTGACTTGCGATTACTTGAGTTTCGAGAACGACAAAAACATGCCAGTCAATCTTAATTACGTTGCGTGGGAAAATAGCTTAAGTTAACCTGAAGTAAAAAAGAATCGGTTATGTGTGAAGATTTATTTTACTTGAAGTCATTAAATTTACTTGTCTTGAAATATTTCTTAGATTATTTGGGCTCTAGTGTAAAGACTATCATTGTCTCTCTTCACCCAAGTGTATAGTGCGTACGACGATCATAATGTTGACCGGGAATTGAAAGCCTTGCGATGTTCGAATACCGTTCATGGAGATGTAGTATCTTCGAACTAGTCGCTTCACGCTACATTTACAGAGAAAAGTGCCAGTCTGATGAACCACATCGGGATATTTCCGTGCGAAGCGGAAGAAAACTTGACGAAAATTACTTCTTCTTGACATTCATTCTATCGCTTATTCTCGGGCTTTGCCGTCGCTGTCGGAATTTGGCTGAGGGAGGTTGTCTTTCATTTTACTACTTTTTGGGTGATATCACTTGTCGAAATTTACCCTGGGAGGGCCTCAATACTCGATTTGCACAGAATAATGTACATATTTCATAGAATAATGTACTCATTATTTGCAACATCAAATTGACACGAAATTTGACGTCATTATGACATCATAATTATTGTTGAATTAATGGGCAAAATTCAAATTTCGTGTTTTTTTCCCTCAAAGCGAAAACTGCTTAAATAGTATATAGTAAGGTGTCTAACAAAACTAAGAAATTGGCAAAAGCATTAACAATCTTTAAAAATAACAGTGATGTCTTGGTGACGACATTCATAATTCAAGAAGGGCTTGGAACTATTCGCCACCTTTGATCCACCATTTTGAATTGATGAATTGTATTGCATTGTACTTAAAACCCGAGGCAATCGTTAAGAAAATAATGATCTCTGTATAAAAGGATACTTATAAAGCAAGAACGTCCGCAATTATGAAATTCCGAGAGAAATTATCACTGTTTAAAACTGAACCCAGCGTGTGCCATTTGGTTATTTTAAATTAATGTTTTTCTCTCACCAAACCAATCACTAAAAAGCATGGATCAGTCTAACAGTTATACTAAACTACATGAAATATTGCTGAATTAAGTGTATGCTAAAATTCAATTAGCCAAAACCAAATTAAATCCTCCTTTTTTTTTTTTTTAAAAAAAGCAAATTTTGAAGAACATGGCCGTCAAAACCTGGTTGCAATGTTCACTTAAACGTTGACGTATACGTCACGGTGACTTTAAAATGTTGCGAGGAAATTCTTAGGAAAAGTTAGGGAGGGGGGAGCTCAAAAAGCCCCCCCCCCGGCCTGAATAGGGCTAAAGGTGAATTTTTTTCCAGCATGCAAGTATAGCCGACGCATTTGCATGGAGGATTTTTGCTCAAAAACAACACTGAGAAAACTTTGACAGGCAAATGAGTCGGCTGTACGCTAATGCTGCAAATGATGTAATCACATGATGGAGACCAGCCGTAGGCTGTGAAACGTTCGCGATCAACAAAGTGACTAAATTGTCAGAAAGGATATACGAGTCCTGTCATACACACACCACAGATAGTAATGTCTTCCATTATCTTAGCCAACACGAAGTTACACTGAGACACAGAAAAACGCAATAGCTCGTACAATTGCATGTATTTTGTTCAGTTTAAATCCTGTTACATATCTTTAGTAGTAAGTTTTGTTATGTGCATGCTAAGATATCAAGTCGATGTAAAGCTGTTTCTTAAACTATTAAACGTAAAGGAGTTTTAGCCAACCGCAGGAGCACACCATGTTTTACACAACAGAGTTTACGTTAACTAGATAAAGATGCTCGCTGTTGATTCAATCATGAAATCCTGTCCAGGTAGTCGCTTTTAATGGGGACGTTCGGGCAAACCTAGAAAAAGGTGCAAGAAATAAAAAAAAAAAAGAAATGCAAAAAATAAATGAAGTAAAAATGATAAATGATTAAGTTATAATTCGATACTAATCGCCAGGTAATGTCCTACAAGTACCTGCATTTAGTGACATTTTTGAGAAATCAAAGTGATAATAAATCGATTTCTTACGTGTTTTAGGTTGCAACTAATAAAATAAATATTCAGTGACCCGTTCTCACTCTGTAGTGTCAAACGAGAATAGAAAATAGTAATAATAATAATAAAAAAGACAGATCACCCTTTAAACGGTGTAAGATGGCTGCCGACCCAGGACAGGTCGCGCACCCGGTCAAGATTCTTCCGCACTGTTTTAGTTTGTTTTTTCTATTTCCTTTCAACTATAAAAGTAAATCTTGTGTCTAAAATCATACAAAGTGGTTATTTATATGTTATTATTCAAGTAAAGCACAAAAATTACTATTTCCCGCAGTTTTAACCTGACTTCTAAATCCAAGATGGCGACCATTGTTGGTGACGTCACAGGCGTCAAGCAGCGCCACCACCCATAAAGTATACCTCATCTTCTTAAGAAGATCAAAGGCTTTCAACTAAACCTACAATCGTTTCGAAATACTGCAGCATATCAAAAACTGCGGGGATGGGTTCTATCCACCCCGCCCCCTCCCCCCCTTGTACCACTGTGGGGGTATGAATTTGCATGTACGTCCGAGGGTTAAACTACCAGAAACCACCAACTTGTGAAAAAAAATGGTAACCCCCTTATATATGTGGTAAAATAAGCAGACGCTATTGTTTTGTCTTAGAGGTGAATATAGTAAACACAACATCGCGGAGATGTGCAAAAAGGAATGCCGATTGCAGATTGTCCAGATTGCACTTTAAACAATGTATAGATAAATAGACAAACGAAAAAACAGATAGACAGACAAATACAGATGGATGGATGAATGTATGGATGGCTAGAAGGATTGATTGGTAAATATATTTCAGCTAGATGCATCCACCTACTTTTAATATTTCCATTATTAACCCCATCGACGGCCTCTACGTCTCCGACGCCAACCCCCGCGACGGACTCTGCGTCGGCGGAAACGTCGAAATACTGCGCGACCAATGAGAAGAGGCCAGATAGGATCTTCAACTTCATTTCCTGGGTTGATCAAAGCGTTTTCATTCTCATCTTCGTTATCCCCTTCCTCGTCATCATCGTCTTCTTGCCGTACAGCATAAACGTTTTCGTCATCGTCTTCTTCGTTTTCGTTTCTGTGATTCATATCTTTGTTCCTGCTGTTTAGGCAAATGAAATTGATATTCCACATTTAATCTTTATGAAATGATATTTGTTTTTGTGTTAACTGGAAAATGTTTTCCAATTGTTTGTTGGCAACGCTATTCACTCATCCAAATAATCATACTGTAAACAATACCTTTTTGTGTAACTATTCGGCAAAGGCTATAATCATCGTGATTTACCGAAAATTAAACAAGGCTACGTGGGGAACTTGGCAGACCGACACAGGTCCTGACAGCCGAAATCATTAGTTATGTGCTTTGTTGGCGATCTAGTAAAATAAGTTTTTACATCATTATATATTTTTTATATTACAATACCGAATTGTCCTTGTTTCTGCTAGAGATTTAACAAAGTACAAATACACTTTAATGAACAGAAAATTACTGTGCTGGGTTCATAACTGATTTAGTAACTTGCTGGATGAAAAACGTTCATGAAAAAAAAAATGTGTTGACCAAGTTTTTTTCGTTTGTTTGAATCCTATGTTAGTGCCTCAACAACTGTAACCTCGATGTAACCACTAGGAACCTAGGAATGTTTGGAGAGCAATGAAAAAGGACACTTGCACATGATGCAATTGAAAATGCGTACATTTCAACCTATGCAGATATGCTACAATTAAGTCTTTGAAAATCTATCAGTAACTGCATAAAACAGGCTACGTTTCTCTCTTACCCTTCTTTTTCGTCTGCTTGGACCTCCCTCGCAAGATCGTTACTTTCAGCATCATATATTTCAGCAGTATCTCCGTTGAATGGTATAGCCAAGCTAAGGGCCAGTACAAAGCCAAGCAATGCCAAAAGAATTAGAGTCTTCATCTCCAAAACTTCTTCAGTTGACTACTGGTTCATGGAAACGCACGTCGTTCTTTTATATGCTTTGTAACGATCGTATGTGTCGTGATATTTTGATTCAAAACAAATATCCAGGATATCTTTCTAAAATTAACATCATGTTTGAAATTTAAACATTACGTTTTGTTACCAATGAATACATCAAAAATATGACGAGGGCCTACACTTAAAGCTCAATAAGGTACGTAAAAGCCAATAGGTACATATCCTTCTTGACTAAAAGAGTTTCCTGTTGTACACGTCGTATATTAGCCCCAAAAGTAATCTATAGTAATCGGTTATTTGATTTATTTAAATTGCTTAAAATACCAAGGAAGTTAGAAAGGTTTTAAACAAAAGTGTTTGAGAAAGCGTGATTGAGTGTAAATCATGGTTCATATTTTACACTTAACCTGCCTGAAACTACACTTAACTCAATTAAAAATGTAAAAAAGGAGAGGAACACTTTACCCCAACAAATTTCATTTCTAATTTGTTACACTACAGAGAGATATTGAGGTTTGCAAAAAGAGGATTTTGAACTTTTACCCGCGCCATTGAGGTTTCTCCCCATCCGCAAATGAAGGCGTAGCAATATTGTTGCCGATTTAATAATACTATCGCTCTATTTTTAGGCAGGCGTGTCTTTATTATTTCCCCCTATCTGAAGTACTTCCCCTTGATCGAGATTGCATTATAGTGTAACTTTTATATGCATACCTATTATCTTTTAAAGATTTACTGCATAAAATTTTATTTTTATTCACGTTCTCTCTTTCTTTCCTTTTTTTTTTTCATTTTGGAAATTTTCTAACGAAGCAAATTACTACTGTTACTCATAAGTGAAGGAAATGCCCGAACGAGCCTTTATGAACCACGAGGTCTCTGATCAAGGTCCTCCTCTCACGACAATTGTTCATAAGTCAGACATTAAGAGCGTAATAGTCCTTAATTTCACAGATCATAGTGCTGTGTTTCGTCCAGCGTTCCTTTCTTAAGTAGGTAATTTAAGCTTTTTCGTCTAGCTAGTTGTTTATAGCCTACTTAACAGACGTAATCTAACCCCCGTTAGAAGTTAAGTTACATTTGTGACGCAGGCTAATTCTTTAAGCTGTTTGGCTGCCTATTTTCCAACGCGTTAGACCCTACACCACTGCGATTTGACTACTTCTATAAAGGCTATCGATATAAACCTGATCAATTACAATTTTTTGCAGCTACAGAAGCGTTGGCAAACAGCGGTAATATTACCACTTCCTCCTTTTATTTTATTATTTTTTTACAACATCCGAGATTGATTTGCAACAGAAAATTTCCTGATCAGTGCTCATAGATGAAGGTAAAATTTAACCTGCTTGTAAAATGATACATGGTTAAACTGAATATTGTAAAAGCGGAGCTCCGACCAAAAGTGGCAAGTTTCGCAAGATCTCGTTTTTAGTAATGAATATCTGTATCACAATATCATTTAAAAAAATTAAGTACATCTGCAGTACTGTGCAACTGAAGAAACAAAGGAAATCATCTCAGCTTATTCAAATAACTTGACAATAAAAACAAATTACAAAGGATACATATTTTCTCTTGAAAAATAGTAAATTTAAATGGCTATTAATTCCTGTTGGGTTCGACGATTCATGGAAATTGAATATCCTGACTCATGTAACCCATTCTTCAATGGAGTACATGGAATCCATGATGTGGTGAATGAGTATTGGAGGAGTTATACGAATTTCTTCAATTTTCGATAATAGAAAAACTTGAGCACGACTCTTAAATTAGTGGTTACTTTACAATGGGCGTTCTTACTTATATAAGTTGCACGGGGATATCTATTTCAGCTGTTAGATCAATATAATTTCGCAATATTGTTCAGATGTTTTGCATAAACCTGAAAAAACTCTTGTTAAAACTCTAACTAAAGGTTATTTCACAGGTTGACCAAATCCACTGCTATTGCTTGATTTATTTATAATCCTGAGGAACGTTTATTTAAGGAACCATTCACTATACGAGTTGGTGTTTGCAAAAAAGCGATATCGAATCCGTAATAGCGGCGTTACGTGAGAGAAAACAGCCACTGGCCTTTGCATTATCTTTTTACTATATATAAAGAAGAGAAGAGACGGATAAAAATATAAGGGATACAAAATATTTTTGAATGAAAGACCAATATATTAGCGTAGTTCGCATGCAGAAGCATCAAAACTCGTAAACACTTGTAAGTGAACGGAGATCAAATAATCGTTATCGTTTTACAAAGAATTGCTCACGCTGGCCGGTTACTCATAAGCCGATCTTTGGTGACTGATGCAATTAGTCACATTCAACATGTAACCGGTATCTTTAGTGCAGCTGCATAAAAGCTAATATCTCTATTAAGGTGTGTCTTCAGTCTTTTCCTGTTTTTTATTACTTCCTCTAAGTAATCTAAAAGAAAAGGAAAATGTAAGGAGTTTTAAAATGACGCTCACAAAATCGATTTCACGGACTCAGATGGAACAGTTTCTTTGAACAAATTGCGTTTACTGCGCAAAATAGCAAAATAGTTGAAAATAATAAGTTACCCGCACTGAAGTAGTATTGTCGTATAGGGTCGAGTACATGTATCAAAAAACGTTTGTTCGTACTTTCATTATTATTGATTGTCAAGGTATCAGATTTTAATGATGGATATGTGCGCTTTTTTTTTCTCAATCCGTAAACAACAAACTAACTGCTAAAATGTTTCTCTTCTCCTTAGTTTTTTTGTAAGTTTTACTTGATCTTATAGAGATTGTATTCGTCAGCAATTTTATAAATAGATGAATTAAGAATTTTAATCTTTCAAATTACCTGTAGATTTTAATGTTTGTATGACCCACCACTGCAAAGGAGGTCAATTAACCTGACAAACTGTCATTTAATCACGTAATGTTAATTCAGGATTCTACTCTCCTGCCTTTACTCAAATTGTCACCACTTCGAAAGACGTGATAGGGTAACCACAAAGGGTAAAGGCAGAAATTAAATTTTGTTTTAATGGATTATGGCTAGCTATAAAAAGCCGCTGAAAAAAAAGTCAAAACATATTGTAACATTGGTCAAAAGTTTCACTCATGCAAAAACTAATTACTGTATTGTGAAGGTGGATGACAATCCCCTCTAAGGAGTTTCTGACTTTTTTTCCTAGAGGATTTAACATCAGCACCTCAAGTTTTCAGTAGTTGTTGTTTTATCCCTCAAGCGCATTGTGAGACAAGTTTAGTGATGATCAGTTACTATGGTTACGAGATATGATGTCATAACTAGCATGTGGTCTACCCTTTTTTCAGTGAAACGATAAAAGTAGATCTTGTGGATAAAATGAAGAGTTATTCTACATTTCAAGCACAAAAAATACCAATTCTCGCGGTTTTTACTTGATTTATAATTATTGTGTGACGTCACAGGCCTCCAGCAGCGCCACCACCGATAAAATATACCTCATCTTTTAGGGAAGATCAAAGGCTGTCCACTGAAGGTATAATCTTTCAGAAATACTTGAACATGTCAAAAACTCTCTTCCCCCTTGTACCACGGTGGGGAGATCACTTTGCGTTAACGTCCCAGGGTTAACACATCAATGTCCATGAGCAATAGACTGAGAGACTCACTCATGGAAAGAAATAAGCGTAGTTACCATGTTCCACGCTTGGTTGCTGTGCGCCTCACTGTTTATATTGCAGCTAATATTAAATCGAAATATCTTCGCTTATATTACCTTAACCTTTCCAACGATGAGATCTTATTCTAACTCCAAAAATTCTAACATTTTTTTATGGACCCAAACAACGTGCACAATTCGTTAACAATCAGCGATAACCATTAGTTCACGTTTAGTACATAAAATTCCAAAACTCGGAGGGAATAAATGAGAGAGGAAACAAATATTTCGTCCGACGTGACGTGCGTTTGATAACAAGTGTTTACGAGTAGTTTCGGTTTTTCACGCATGCAAAGGATACTCTAATATTGGTCTTCCTCTCAATGTTATTGTATATATACTATGTTTTTATCTCTCTTCACTTCTTTAGTGTCTGCCCCGCTATAAAGGACTTAATCTCGCAACTATGTATTTTTGCAAACACTGACTCGCATATTGTCAGTAATAAGTACCTCTATAAAAACTATGACTGTAAATAAATAAGACTAGGTTTTCTCAGCCTGTAAAATAACCTCGGAGTTTCGGTCTTTCACTCTCAGTCGTTTTCTAAAAGTTGCTCTACGGTACTGTTTGTCCAATTGTATGCAAAACGTTTTTTTTTACTCGTAAAAATCGATCGATCATCAGCTGAAATAGATATCCTTGGGCAACATATAATTGTGGACACCGATTTCTAAAGGAACCTGCACTTATTTAAGAATCCTTCTCAACTTGGAAATTGGAGTAATAGGTGTATCTCCCTTCCAATAACTGATGATTCCCCACTTCACGGATTCCTTTCACTCCATTCAAAGTCGGTCGTAGGAGATTAAACTGAGATTATTTGCTTTGAGCCTAAATTTGTAAATATAGGGATATACTTATTTTGATATCACAAGAAGTATAATCGATATCGTGATACAGATATTCTGGATTAAAAAAGAGCTCTAGCGAAATGAACAACCAGTTAATTTGGTTTTAAAGCCTTTTGTCATATCTTTGCTTTTACTATAAACCTGGTTCCATTGTTAACCTAAATATTGACGAACGGGTCACGACAAATTTTAAATGTCCCGAGAAAATTTTAGGAAAAGGCGCAAAGTTTGGTGTCCATAGCTTGAACGGTTTTGAAGTTATTCAACATTTTAGCGAGGACAGTAGGGAGAGGGGCTTCGAAAGCCCTCTCCGGACCGACTAGGAATAAGGATGAATTCATGTAAAAACAACACTGAGAAAATTTTAACAGGTAAATGTGTCGGCTGTATGTTAATGTGGCAAATGAAATCATCACATGATGGAGACCAGCCGTAGGCTGTCAAGA